AAAATATTAAACAAAACTAAAATCTAAAATTTTTATTAATAAAAAATATTTAATATGTAACAGAAAAGTTTGAACAGCTTGTTCATAAAGTAAAAAAGAAAATCTCAAGTACATAAAATAAAAATGAACTTTATTTAAAAAATTTGCTTTCTGGTCTAATTCTTCAAAACTATCAATTATTTCATCATAATTAATATTATCCAAAACATTTTGTTCGATGTGTAGAACAGCTAAAGAACTTAATTTTAATTGACTCACACAGTGAATTTTGTAAATAATTTTTTACACATTTCAATACTGAGAATGATCTATCCCCAGATGTATTTGAAATAACCAAAGTTTCATGTATTCACAATAATATTTGAAGATATTGGTACTATTTTTTGCTCTTTATAACTTGCAGGATATCATTATTTTATAAAATTTGTTCAACAGAAAAACTAACTATTGTATTTATAAATCTTTGCACAAAAAAGCAGTTTGGTTGGGCTTTTCAAAAAACCTGTTTCTAGAAAGTTGCTTATAATTGATCCACATCCTCTATGATCTAGTATAAATAGAAGTAAATTTATTATTTAGTTATTTTTGAAGTTTATAGTTGAATATGATAGGATTATTAATTGAGTAAGTCGTGAAGGTATCATAGTTTTTTAGAATCATAAAAGAAAACCTTAATTTTTTAAAAAGTTTTTGGATTTTAATATGAAAAAAATATATGCTGTATTAAAAACTACATCAGTAAAAATTCAACTTATTTAAACAAGATTATCATTTCAAAAATGTAATGTGTGTGTGAAACAGTAGACAATGCTGGTCAATGCAGTACACCTTAATCTGATGGGGTTTATATGGTAAAACATGTTCTACATGTTTTACCATATAAAACGTGTAGAATCTTTCTGTTGTTTTTATATGATGCAATTCATGTGGTGAAAATTTTGATGCAATGACACTAATATGCGAGTACATTAGTACAAATTGGCTTTTTTGGAAATGAAAGATTTTTAAATTAAAAACAGTATTTAATGAGATAAATCCAGTATTTGTATATCTTAACATTAGATGCTACAGAGGTTGTGACAAGTATTTCAAATTATTCTACTATTACTTTTGTAAATAAAGAACGTAAAAAATAATTTATCACTGCAAAATTTTTATTAAATTAAATTATGCACCTTTTTTAGAAAGACAGTGATTGAGCTGAAAAAATTTCAAATTATTTTTATGTAAAAATAAATCAATCAAAGGAACATCAATTTAATGTCTTTCTGTGGAGTATTTACTAATTTGCCAGAAAATTAATGCTTTGCATCGAAATTTTGTTATCAATTATGAATTTTATTTACATGATATTAAATTTTGCTACATAATTTATTGAACCAAATATATTAAATAAATCTTTTATTTTTAAATAAAGAGTTGAAGTCATTGTAATTTTGAGGAAAGAAATAAACATACAAGCTTTGGTTGGGATAGAATTGTGACAAAATTGCTTGAAATCTTTATACGTTCAGAAACGTGTTTTTAAAAAGTAACACAATGAATTTTTTTAAACAAATTTACTGTCAGTTGAATTAGAACATGCATATAAAGTTTTAAGAATATTATTACAAGAAAAAAATTATTTCAATGCAGTTTTTTGGCATAAAATGAAGATAGAAGGGCATATTTTCAAAACATTCTCACCTCATGAAAAATGGTTCAACAATAAAAATATGCCTGTATCAGTGGCACACAGGAATTTTTCAAGAGGGGGGGGGGTCAAGGGTTGGAAGTCCACCATTCTTGTACCACATATCAATAGGACGCTAAATATATTCTTTTGTAAACAGTAATACAATGAATAATTAGCATTAATTATTAATAACAAATAATTACATTTTACGTACTATATGCATAGGATTATAATCAATCGGGGGGAAATCAAGGACTTCGGGGATCATATTAAAAATCCATTTCAGGTATTCGGCCTTCAATAGCCATTAAGAATGATGTTAATAAATTGTCAACCAATAAAAACTTACAAGCTTTTCTAAGTTGAAAAAATTCTTTTCCATCTATATTTTCATTTTCACTTTTAAATTCTTCATTCGCATTCGAGATCTGATTGGATTGTAAAAAGGCATATCACGTCATTCCGAGGCATTTAATCAATTCTAATGAAATATTAAATAAATTCAAACTAAATATTTAATAATATTTATTTGAGAAGTTATTTTATACATTTTTTTCTCTCATTTCAATTAGCCGTAACAAAAGCCTATTAAATATTTTTGATAAATATAAGTAGAATTTCATTTATATATAAAAGCATTTTATGCATGCACAGATCTCACGTTTCATATATCATTTACTGTGAAACTATAAATCTTTAGTTAAAGCAAAAATTTCGAAAATCGTTTCTTTACAGTTATTTGGGGAAGGAATAAATTTTATATATATATATATATTTCTTAAAACCCATTCACGTGTGAAATTTTTTATGTTTTTCAAAAAATAAATACAGAAACGTGCTAGAGCCCTATTTTATTTCTTTGAATTCATCCTTACATTTTACTCTGTTTTGTGTTATGGTTTCTAATTGCTGTTGAGAGAGAACTGAAATAATAGTATTATAATATGCTAGCCGTAACATCATGCTTCGCTAAGTGACATTGTGACAATCTTTTTTTAAGGTTCTTGATACCTAATTCCTAGCATTAAGGGGTGGAGTAGTAACAGTGGCACGCGAAGACTTATTGAAAAGATAATAAATAATTTGTTTTTCAATTGTATTGAAATGTAGTTGTCTTAGACAAAAAAAAAACTCATAATTTATCTACAGTCGTACCTCCATATAACGAACCTGTATATTGTGAACTTTTTTCTGGAACCGAGACCATTTTACTATTTTCTTTGTAATAACCTCCAAATAGCAAAGTGCTTTTTCAATTTAACCAACTTTTTCTCTTGTGATTCGATTTTTTTTCTCCCTATTTGTAAAATATTTCAGAGCATTTTTCAAATTTTTCTCTGTTTTAACACATTTTATTGTGATGAATGACCTTCAAATAGCTTTACCAGGTGCCTAACTCACCCAAAGCAATTAAAATTTACAGATTTTAACAGTAATTAAACTTAAGGATGCATTTGGTAGGATGCTTAAATTTAGCATTTTTAAAATAACTTAGCTTAAAATTAGAAAATGTCATTTAAAAGTTCAATTTTAATATAAAATTATTTACTCAAGTTGAACATTCAGAGTATTCCTGAACAATGGCCCCCCTCCCTCCAGGGCTGATCCTAGTAGGCATGCATAGTTAGATATTGATTTTTTTTTTTTTTTTTTTTTTTTTTGTGAATGTAACTTTTGTTTTACATTTCTGAATGATATGTAATGAAGCATGTGTGTAGAATATATTATTACTTATTGTTGTTTCAAAAACTAGTTATTAATTTCTTGATATTTGTTTCGTATTGAACTGAATAATATGAAATTTGAAAAGGAAATGTGCTATTATCTATGTTCTTTGGTGTTTTCAATCACATTTTTTATGTATTGAAAAACTATTTGTTTTATTTTCATATTTTAAATATAATTTTTAATCAATACTGCCCAGTAGTATGTTACTCCGTATTTGGTTCTATCAATCAGACAAAATTTTTCCCTAATTTCTCAAAATAAATCTTATGATCGAATTAATAAACTGAATTTTAAACTGTTATTAAAAAATCAAGTCCCGATTTTTCCGATATCACAGCATAGCTTAAAAAAATAGAATGTTAGTGCATAGTGTGTTGGCCGATTGTCCATAAATGTCTACTCTTTATAAACATCCTTCATCTGATAGCAAAAAATTCGTGTTGTATCCGGCAATACCGCATTAAAAAGAGTTTTGTTTTGTTTAAATAGCGGCACTGGCAGCACACTGAGGATCGATGCTTAATAAAAGCATCTCAAAAAGGATTTTTGCGAAAGTTGCTTTCCGAAATTATCTAATAATGTTAATGTAGTTATGTTTAAATTCAATATGAATTTGGGGAAATTAAAAGTTTTTAATTCAATAATAACCGTACAATTTAGAAAGAATAAAATAGGGGAAAGAAATGAAAGATTTTTTCCTATGGTTTTACAACACTTATAAACAATGCTTGTTTTCCTTTTTAGTGAGTTATACCTCTATCAAAAGGTAGTTTCTGTAATTGTATCTGGTACTAAGTTAGAAGAGAAAAAATCTTGTAGCTTCTTTTGAGTAATGAGAAATTTGAGTTTGATTCATTTCAAAGCTTGTTTGAAAAACACTTCAATATTCACAAAGCATTATTAATGTTAGTGAAGCTCTAAATTTCATTTTATGTTGTAGGAACTTAATGGTACTTTAATACTATGTTTAAAAAAATACTAATTTTATGTGTGTGTGTGTTTTAAAAAAAAGAGTCCTAATTGTAATATAGGTGCCATATAATCAAGCATACGATTCAAGGAATTCACAACATAGCACTAAAAAACGGAAATAAAAGAAGAAAAAATTAAAAGCTAATTCTGATCTATATATATCTGCCCGCTTTAATGTATACTCCTAGTTGGAGGATAATTTCATATGAACTAGCCCCTTACCGTGTTTACTTTTGTCTATGTTAGCAGCAGGTGCGGCTCTAGGCCCGGGGAAACTGGTCCCATGTTCGAGGCGGCATTTGGGCCCATTTTGAAAAATACTTTTTTTTTGTTACGAAACAAGTAATATATATAAAATTTAAGTCAACTCCTACTTAGACCAACAAAGAAAAATTTTATTTTAGTTACTTTTTATTAAATAGTTACAATTAATATAAATATGTATGACAGAATCACAAAATTAAGTGCCAAAATAGAAAGCGGTTTTCCATTTTCCTTTCTATAGATGTTGTTGGACTATTATTATTATTATTTGTTTGCTTGTTTCTATTTATTTAATTATTAAATTTAATTACTCTAATAAAATAGTATTTTAAAAAAAGAAATCACATTCTGAGAAATTAGACGTCCCAGGTGGGTTTTGAACCCACCAGCTTTGAATTAGACGTCCAACGCACTGTCCATTGTGCTACAAGGACACTATGAATGACTTTCTCTTCTATATTTACTGTAGGGCTATATTATTTTTGTTTCAAACTTTTTATATTCATTTTTAATTTAATTAATGAATTAATATTTGAAAAAACTGTATTAACATCAAATGTCATCCACTACAAGTCTTAAAAAATGTATTTGAACTTGAATGGATGAATAGAAAATATTTTATTTATGATTGAAATTTTGAACTATATATATATAGTTCAAATTTTCAATCATAAATAAAAATACTTTCTATTTATTTATATATATATATATAGGGAGAGAGTGAACTAATAGTAGAAATTGAAAAATTGATATGAAAATATTTTTTGAAATATTATTATTTATACTTTGGAAACCTGGTACCTTATTTAAATGCCTGAAATTTTATTTTAGACTGAATTGAAAAGCCGACTACTGCCAGTAAAATTTGTAACAACTATATCTTTTTCTAAAAATTACTCTTCGTGGCGATTTGTTGTAGCAAGTATATGGGCCCCCGACATCGGGATACAGATACAAACGACTATCTTTTGTATTTGCTTAGAGCAGCGTTCGCAGTTCTTCAAATTCTGCTTTTATGTAGAATTAAAAATTATGTTTGTGTTAAAAAGTTACTGTTCACTTTTCTAATTTATAACTATCTCTATAAAAATAATTACTTGCATTTGCATGCCCATTTAAGTATTTGACTGGTTTTCTGACAGAATTTATTTTAAAATATGTATTTGATTTATCTTTTTTGCAATTTTCAGTTATATATTTGTATCTAGCAATGTGAATCTGGTATTTCATTTCATGTATCTTATTTTCTTATTTTGTACTGTACATTTAAAGTCAGTTTTCTTATGTGTTGAAGCTTGAAGGGTTCAAAACTGGTGTGTAAGTTAAATCATGAAATTTGATGTGATTTTTCTCATTTTTTTCTGTAACTTTCTCTCTATCCCGAGTGGGTCACAAAAAACGTTCTTTCCTCCTACAGGATGTCCAGTGTCAGCTAACTTAAAGGGGACAGAAGCAATAAGATTTTTTGGAAGATAACGAGCCACAGGAAATGTTTCATTTTATTTTGGAATGTTTTTATTCGAAGTTAAAATAAACACTTGTGGTCTTTACCATCAACACACTCGTTTCCGAAAAAAATGATCTGCTGAAATTGACACAATTCAATCTCTTACATTTAGCTCATTTGAAATAGCATACAAATTAATTTCGTATTAATTTGTATTTTTTTAAGACTTAAAGTAATGTACAAATTCCTCTTGTAAGTTACATTTCTGAATAAAGCACAATTAATGTTGCTACCGGTCTCTTTGAATTTGGATCTTATGTGTTTACCTCTTATTAAGGGACATTCTATTTAACTGACACTAAAAAAGTTTCTTATTTCTTTTTTGTAAAATTTTAAGATTTCAAAGACAAGTTTGTGTTTCTTTTTAAATAAATTAAATATGGTGCTCTCCTAATAAATCAATGTAATTTAACAGAGAAATAAAAAAAAAATTGCAACATTGTCTGATCCCTGCTTTGATTCAGAGACGAAACAGAATATGTTTAATAAAGTGATTACAACTCCTGGGAAGCATTTTCTTTGGGCTTACATAAGAAATAAAAATACTAGTTTAGGTAGACATAGTGCACATTATTTCAAAAAGATCCGTACAGCGGTATATTTTCAATAAATTTCTATTAAGTACAAGATTTTATTGCTCATTTTAAACATTTATACAGTAATTAAACTTTTATTATTTAAAACTTTCCTTTTTCATGAACTTCAAATTTAAAAATAACCTGCGACAAAGGTATTCATTTGTATATTATTTATTTAATGATTAATACGACTTGAATTTCTAATTAAACTAATTTGTATAGCATTAAATGACAAATTATCCAATGTCTGGTCTGGTGGGTTTAAATTTCTGGCTTTAGGACATATTGTGTCAAACACAAGATTCCTTATTGAAAGGAACTACCATATTTTTATCCTATTAAGATAAAATATTAAGGAATATTTTGTTGTGTTTGCCTTCATGAAAAAGTGGACTATAAAAATAATATATATAGTTTTAATAAAATCTCTTTCGTTAGTATATGCGTATACATTTATGTAATAAATAAATTCACATAACTGCATAACGATTTTAAGTGAAAAGATTACTGAGTTAAAAGAAAACTAGCTAATTTTAATGACAGTGAAATTATTTTGTATATACGTATCTATAGCTATAGTTAAGATTACAGAAGAAATAAAGAAGTATAGTCATACAGAACAAATAAAGTTTGTTATTAGATGTGTGAGCACTTGTTAGTAAAGTATATATTTTAGAATTTTTTCTATGAGTTTTTAGGAATACTACATAAGAAAGGCTTTCAGATATGGACACATTCTCTATTGAATCCAAAATCTCGGGAAAAATTGATTTCACCAAAATTATTAACAAATTTACTTCTCAGAAAACCTGAAAACTTATTTTATAATTAATTATTAAGTAATCATCGTAAAGGACTGATTCATGCATTTTTCGTTTCACTAGATTAATGCTTTAGTACTCTTTTATTAAATTATATTTTCTGAGTAAATACTGTTGTATGTGTTTTGCTTTTCTAATTATAAAATGTCTATTTTTATTTCAAAGGTAATATTTTTACTTGTTTATTATTTTGTCACGAACATAACCCATCAGCTGACCAAAAAATAAAGTTTTGCTCTTCAAATTTTATTTGCATTTTTATTAATGTTTTACTTTTTACTTTTATACAGGAAGATGAGTTTATCACCTCAATGTATAAGGATTAATAAGTAATTATATTCATAAGTATTGTAATAAACAATTAAATATATAAATATTGTAATAAATAATTAAATATATAAGTACTGCAATAAGTTATTAAATATATAAATATTATAATTAAGTAAGTAAATTTGTAGTGAAAAAGGAAATTAAATATATAAGTATTAGTCAAAAAATGAAAATTGTCTAAAGGGGCGGCACATCACGTCTTCGCACGCCGGTGGCCGACACCCTAGGATCTGCCCTGTTTGGGTATTCTCAAAGTAGCAAGTGTCTTGAAATGAGAAACCTTAATTTATCTTTCATGCATTTGAGGGATCCTTATATATATTCTGAAAAAAATCGCAGAATAGGAAAGAAATTTCGTTGCATTTTAGAAAACAATATAAATGGTATGTTCGCAGATGGAAATGTATTTTATCAATCACAAGATTTTTGCAAACCTCAGTCGAAAATAATTATTTTGAGAAACCGTTATGGGCTATTAAAAGTTCTAGAGTTCTGATGTTAATCAATCAGCAAATATTTCTTAACTGTGAGCATTAGTTACTTATTTTCCCTCAATTTAATACTATTAGTGATGCTAAAAGAGAAGATTACCAAGTGAAGTGAAGAACGAAAGGTATTTATTTATTATTTCTTGGTTTGTTAGCAAAATATTTACTTATCAATTGCAAAAATAGTGAATAATGTCTTTAACGTGGTTTGCTCCTCACGTTTTGACTCAGCTAGAAGAAGTTATAAAACATGGGAAAGTAGGTATTTGTCCTGGACCGATTAAGATTCTAAACCCGATGCCATCCGGCGCTTCTTGGGTGAAAAAAAATTACTGCGACAGATTTAAGCTTGTCATACCTTATGGTGGTCATTCTGTAGACTGGGATGTCATTTTTCAGGCCAGTTCTCCTGAATGTCCTCCGGATTTTATTTTCACAAATGCCCCGAATTTCGTAAGTCTTGATTGTATAAAGACATTACTCGATTGGGATCCTAAGCGCCCAAATTCTTTATTGATCATTTTGAAAGATCTTATGCGTCATTATCAAAAATATCAAGCCGCTCGCTTAGAAAAATACTCCAGGGTTCAGTTCGAGTATTCAACCTTGACTCAAGAAACGAGTGTTACTGAAGATGACATTGAAGTATATGTTGTAGACGAGAAAGAAGGGCCGATCAATTTTCTTATTCAGCTTGGAGTACAGTTTTCTGGAATTCCCAAAATCTATAAAAATGAAGTGGGTGACACAGCTCTGCTTCTAGTCACATTTAATGGGTCAGAAGGCACGAAAATCACACCAAAGCTCTGTCTTCCGCCAAAAATTGAACATGCTCTTGGTTCTCCACTATCTTGGAGAATCCCTGCTTTCTCTAGTGATGGATGCCTCATGGACTATGTACCATTTGTGCAAGAGTCACTGAAAAAACGAATTGAAATGGTGGCTTACAATTTTGAGAAAAGGATGGAATATCTTTTTGAATTTCTGGAATATTTTGAGGGAAGTTACCTGGAATTCGACAGAGATTTGGCTTCAAAGGCCACTTTTCTGTTTGAGCAAAATGGGTTCTATTTCATATTTCACATTGACTTGCCTCAGAATTTTCCCCTTGGGAAACCATCCTTCACGTTCCGCTCGATTTATCACTCGTCGTTTGAAAAGCCATTCTCGACAACCGTCATGAACTATCCATACAATCAAGGGTGGCCAGTCAGAACCATGCTAGAAAAGACCATTGAATTCATTCAGCAATATGCTCTCGTGTTTCAGCAGAACTCAGTGCAGAATGGTTCCTCACCTTAAATGTGAACAATTAACTTTGCCTAAACTGTAAACACTTTCTTTTCCTTTTATTTTTCCTTAAAATGCTATTGAATGAAAATTGTTTAAAATATTTTCTTTTACCTTGCTCAGCATATTAGGGTTTTTAACTTGAATACCTACGTAAACTGTAAATAATTTCTATATTTGTTGAAATTATTACATTGTGTATAATTTTATATTCTTTAACGTTGTACTTAAATTTATGATGCTAATTATATTTTGTATTAATTTTGTAAATCAATTTCTTTTGTGAGTTTTATTAGTAATTTGCATTTTTATACTGCTGATTGATTTCATCATATATGTGTGTGGCATTAGCATCGGAACTTACATAAAACTGTGTTTTTAAATTTATGAACAAATCCTTGTATGTTTGATGTGCAATGT